ATACCTTTGTGTTAGCAGTGATGTTTATTTTATGAAGTACTACATGTGCAAGCATTCCTTTATCTCCTTTGGCTAGAAGTGCTGCACATGCAGTAGCAGTACTCTTTTCCACTTAGTATCTTTTGGACTCCTATTGGACCTCGGGGATCTGGTGGGCATATACTGTAGCTTTCTTCTATTCTTCACTCCATTCACTCGCCAGGTTCTCAATTACCACCACATGATACGAATGTCGGTATCTTATTTTGCCTGGGCCTCTGAAATTTTCTTTGTAAAGAATTCAACATTTTCCTGGCTATGATATTGAAAGCTACTTTCTTCCAATACTTCAATGTCCTCCTTTCATCCAAATATGCATATATCGTCATATCGAATGTATCAATCCTGCCCATAAATTTATTATGCAATAAAACTACTTGGGGTTTTGTTCTACCATCCCACGACTAACAATTTGGTCTTTGTGTGCCTTTGAATGGCTGAATAAGAGAAGAACAGGATTATTTTGTGATTTGTTTTCCTGGAAACCACAAGATAATATCAGACTAGACCTGAAATACAACGTCTGACTGACTGAAAAATTTTTTAACTTATATCACAGGATGGTGTGCAGAATAGGAAGTACCTACTGCTATAAGTACAGTACTTCCTATTCTGCACACCGTCCTGTGATGTAAGTTTTCAGAGAATACAAGATGCAAATAAAGGGAACTGAAGTGAAATAATTATCGACAAAAACATGGTAGCCCTATAATTATAATTCCCAAGAGCCAATAACTCCCTAATGACAGTATACCCAAACCTAGTCTGAATGGCCGAGCGATCAAGGTGGTAACCTATCACTATGGGGGGACCTGGGATTTATTTTATTTTAACTCTCCGCCCTGTGGGCAGTAAACTCTTGGCTGTAAAATGTATTGCACGTGTCTCGTACGGTTTCCTACAATGTTCATGTCTCGGTATAACATCCTAATTTTAAAATGTCCAGGTCAGCAATTTTGAAAAGGTGGCCACCCTGATTATAACGCTTTTTATACTCTTTCCGCCCTGTGGGCACTAATAGGACCTCTTTTAGCAAGCCCGTTTTAAGTTTGGCCAGGCCCACAATGGGGCGGCCGAGTGGTGAGAAACGGGGCCCGGCATATCCGGTCAGATCACGGTCGAAAATTCCTAGAGATTTTTCAACTAATCCGGATTGGATCCCGGGTCCCCACAGCGATAGGCTGCCACTTCGACTGCTCGGCCATGCAGTAGTCTTTTCTTTACCCAGGATTGAATCCGGATGGGTTTGGGGAGTGGTCCGTCCAGATATGTCGAGCCCCAGCGGCGGCCTTATCCATTGCGAGGCTCTGGGCGGCAGATCTTTGCGAGGCCCTTGTCCTTTGTGCAAAGTATGTGAATTGAAATAGTAGACACTTATAAATATTAATATATACTGTACTATAAATTTAATTTATTTTATTGTTATAACTAATAGCCAAGGATAAAATAAAAAGTTTTAAATATCAACTTTTTTCTACTTGGTTGTTGCGCGAGGCCCCTCCAAGAGCGAGGCCCCGGGCGATTGCCCTGCTCGCCACCCCCTAAGGCCGCCACTGTCGAGCCCCGTCCCTCACCACCCGGCCACACCATTGTGGGCCTGGTGGTGAGGGACTGCGCATTGTAGGAAACCGTACGAGACATGCTCGATGTCTTTTTACACCAAGAACTGAACAATGCGCATGCCAGTTTTACACCAGTTAGGGACTTGTGTTGAAAAAAACCTAATATTTGCAAAATACTCGCAATTATTTTTATAAATTAATTTTGTTTCATGATAATTTCACAATTTCTACGAAAACCGGGCAGATCAATAATTAATCCGGACATAAATTTAAAAACCGTGGCAACACTAGTTTTAATCTTATGTAAGAAGTAAAAGAACGGATTTTCTAAAACAAAACTGCTAAAAAACTTGTAATTAGACTGCGGGATATCTCCCCTTTCAGTCGCAGCGAGGGTCGATATTAGAGCCCCGACTCCCGTCGGGATATCTCCCCTTTCAGTCGCAGCGAGGGGCGACATAGCGTTTCGACTCCCGTCGGAACGTCGCCCCGTTCAGCGCAGCGAGGGTCGATATTAGAGCCCCGACTCCCGTCGGGATATCTCCCCTTTCAGTCGCAGCGAGGGGCGACATAGAGTCCCGACTCCAGCCGATAGGCCGCGTTTCTTTATGCAGCACTCGAGAAGCGCTTTACATCGAATTCTCTGAAACCCGTTTCTAAATGCAGCGCTGCAATGTAGCCAACCGTTTCTAAAAGTTTGCTGCAAGAGGTCGCTGCAGCGAAGATAAAGCAGCTTTTACGTCCCTACACGTGTAAAGCAAAATGGACGCTTGTGTGTATAATACGATATTATGCTGTAAAAATAAAAAAGCCGAAGTGACTGTTAATAAAAATATTATGGAAAGATTAAGAAGGATTAAATTTTATGAAATGACTCTGAAAGTTATCTAAAGAATAAGAGAATATTATATTTTAAATATAATTATATATCTTTTATCTCTTCACTTTGTTCACATTTATGGAAAGATAAATGCTCGATTCTTTATATTTCTTTATTTAAATATTGTAGTTCTTTAACTAAAGCACTATTTTCGGCTGTAACTGGAATTAAAGGATAGATTATGACGTCCGTGTTTCGCTCTAGCGGAAAGCGTTTCTAAACTATGATGCAGCGACGTGTAGCGATAGCTGCTCGTGACGTCATTTACACTGCACTCTCGCTTCATAAAGAAACGTAGCCATATTAAAGCCCCGACACCGGTAGCGATAGTACTGTATTTAAACTATAAAATAGAATAAAATGACTCACATGATTGGTTATATTCTGACCTTTCTCGAATTTGCCAATTTTGTAGCAACTTTGTTTATATTTTTCTGCCGTAAACTCTCTGAAACTTGTTTTCATTGGAATTTTTCGAATTCCTCACTTTTATTGTGGGTTTTCGTTTTCTTTCTTCATTTCTTCTTGTTTTTCATTCTAAACTTACCAAAAGAGCATAGAATTGAATATTTTTAATTAATGGAAAATTTTTAAGAACGATTCGACCAGGACGAGTTCAACAATGATTTAATTTCATTGTTAATCTGTTAACAATTGTTTAAATATCGCATTGTTGTAATGACGTCACGAATGACGTCGATCGGCGTTTAGTTTTATAATTCGTACAAAATTTAGATTTTTGATCAAATAAAATATTATATTTTATTTATGGAAGTTTAAATGACACGGATAACTTTATAGAGATCGGTATTTATTGTTAATCGGTATCCGGGTTGTGTCAGACCTATTGTAAAGTTTATCTTGGAAGCGAAATATTAATTAAAATGATAAATTGGTGGTTAAAATATTGAAAATACGACAATTTAATTATTGTTTTAGATGAATAAAAAATATCAAATATATTGCTGATGGAATAAAAACTTTTCCATTTTCTCTCTTTCAGTAATCTGAAATGAATCTGAATTTTCAATTCCATTAGTTTCAATTTCCTGCGTAAAATACAGTATATAGAAATCCTGGGCTGTCAGGCCTATTACAAGACCGTATGGCATAAATTTATTTCCACTTATAAGCTGTTTTTAAAGTTTTCGTGATATCCTTGTAAGGACCCGAAAACACTGGGAACTACGCGAAGTTATAAAGAAATTTTAAAAAATGATACCGTAAGATTGTTGGTATAAAGACGTGGAAATTTCGTGTCCATATAAAGAAATGCTCGATATAAGGAGAAAAAAAAGAGTAGTTCTCGTATTTAACTCTCAACAACGCCCGGGGTAATCTACCTCCGAGTAGACTTGAGGAGATTATCACTGCTGGACGGCACTTCCATGGAAAGGAGAGGATCCAGGAAATTTTATTTCACCCAACAACGGAAGATCTTTGATATTGTACGCATTCTTTTGTAACAATAAAGCGGGACCATAATTATGAAACTGTGAAGTTTGTCTCTGGATAATTCGCTCCCACATACGATCCGGAACTACTCCGTCATTCGGACATTTTAGCGCGATTCGGCAATTTCACATCGTCGTTACAACAGATGTAAACTGATGGCCGAATGGCCGAGCTGTTAACTGAAACGAACCTTTCTGAATTGAAACGTACAGTGTGTGTAACGAAAAACGCAACACAGCACTAAGTTGATGACGTGACTAAAACGCGCTGATTGATGAGTGACGTACGCGTTCGAACAGGAAGCGGCCATCATTGGACAGTTGCAGCTAGCGATAGGTAGCGTAAATGAATGACGTTATAAATATGACGTCAAAACACCAAACGTGTTCCGAAACAGCGCTACCATAGAGAGCGTTCGGCTCCAGAACTGTTGGGTCCGCTAAACGCAGCCATCATCTAGTAACTATGGGTACGTTCGTAAAGTCAAACGAGTTAAACGCGTTAGTAACGAATCGTTCGAATAGTAGTAGTCTCGCTCAGTGCGCTTGCTCTGCGGTGATGACGTTTCGAACGAAACTCTAACGAAGTTCACAAAGGAAAGAGTTAGTTTACTTCGTTAAGAAAATGGCGCCCGACGATATCGATGTTTCTAAATCTACTCGAGCGTTTAAATTGTGAAATAAAAGATGAAATGATTGGAGTATCTGTCCACCAAAACAATCTAAGAAAAATATTTCGGATAAGGCTGTACTAGCAACATTTGTATCTTTGATTTTAGAAACAGCCATTTAGTTCTAAAGGAATCGTTCGAAAAGTCTAACGAAATAAGAATAACGATGACATCATTCTCGTTTAACTCGTTCGACTTTACGAACGTGCCCTATGGCCGTGACTGTCGATTAAAGCCTTATCCACCGCAGTCATCCGACAGCATATTTTATAGAAATATATTTAAAAAATATATGTAGCATAATTACTTATAAAAAATAATTAGACTTTTAAAAACGTAATGATAAATAATAAATAATAATATTTATTGAAAATTATTAACCGAGATGGTTATTGGTGAATTTATCCAGTAGAGGGTGTCGCGTCGCTATTTAGATCTTCATGGTGTTGTGAGGTTTGGTTATTTGGAATTCTTTGTTTCTTTATCAAAAGTAGAAAAATAAATAATATAAAATGGCGGATAGTTCGGGAGATCAGTCGTGGACCGCCCAATCATTTCGACAAAGTATAAGAGGCAAAATGTAAGTAATTATATCGATTCACTTCAATGAATAATCATCATTGAATGAATATAAACAATGTTTTGAAGGAAAAGTCTCTTTAATTTATAAAAATATAATTTCTTATTAAGTTTATTTCAGTTTTTATTACAAAGTTTCACTAAAACTTGATATAAATGATTTAAAAGGAAAGAGGATTTAGCTATTGTGTACATAGAATGAATGCTTTTTTTGTTTCAGTATGGCATACTTTCAAACCTGTTTTTGAATGTGAAAGTTGATCAAATAAGATTTTAAATAAAAATAAAATTAAAGTAACGCAGCAATGAACAGGCAATAAATTCACATACTTGAAAAAAAGAAAAAAAAATTATTATGTCAGTTTCAAAAGGTATCTAACAACATAATTCAAAGTAATTTAAATTGACGTAGTAAGTACTGTGAATTTGAGATTTTATATTACAAAAATTCATATTGGTTAAATTTAATTATACATAAAATGGAACTGTAATTTGATAGTTCTGTTTGTGTGTTAAATCCGAGAATGTGTTGTGTTATCTAATACTCGGACGCAGATGTACTGTCTAACGAGTGTAATTATCAATAGTTGTCATTTATGCCTATTGAAGTATAATCTATCGTATTTCGTCAGAAAAGGTAGAAATAAACTAAGAAAGTGTGCCTCTAATGAACACCAGATAATCAAAGATAGTCATAGAAATTTAGATGAAGTGTCCATTGCCTTCTAGCATTTGAGTGTAGATAATGTTTACCTAAATTACTTGTATTTGTGCTTTTGTTGAAGATTGTAACTTCTTATTAAACTATCAACAATGCTGATTTGTATTTTAAGTATAAGGTCTGCTAAAAACTACAAATAACACCTCAATTCTGGTTAATATTAATCTGAGATCCATTGTTACAAAACCAATGAACTGGTGTAAATGAACTATTCGGTTTGAGAAGCAAATGTTTATGTCTGCTCTCGGTCTGGTCTAAAATTCAGATCGCATCAAGTCTATGATTGGAGGGTAGTTGATGGATGCCGATTGGTGAAATGTTCGTATGTAGCAATTTGCGTGGAACATGCTTCTATTGAATTTATATATATTTTCCACAGAGATTGGTATTGTGCTATCTTCTATATAGTTGAAAAAACAATAGTTTTGTTTGAAAAAAAATCTGATCAGACTCATTTGGTTTATTATCAGCTCCTTATGCAGAACTTAGAAGAGTTTGTTCAAAGTTGTGTGTAAAGAGCTATGCCAAGTTCCAGATAGTTTTTGATCAAATTTTATTTTAAATTATAAAATATTTACTATTTTACATACATCTTAAACATTACTATGCATAACAAAACTTGGTACTGTTTTTAAAACACTTCAAGCCACTTATTCAAGGTAATCAAAATTCTTTACTTTATTGTGAAGTCTCTTCTATGTGGCTCACAGAATTTTGTCTCAAAATCTGTTTTCTTTGATTTTGATAAAATGTTGCCATTTTCCATTAATTGTGATGAGGAATCCAAAAATGTAATAAAATATGGGATCCATGACTTTGTTTTTGAGATATAAAGTCATAGTACAAGTGTGTGAGACAAAGTGATATCTCATGAATTGCACAATTTTGTCAGGCAATGTCCCAAAGTTGCTAACACATCTATGAGCTTATAGAATTTAGTTTGTTCTCAAAATTTGATGGCAATTTTCATGAGATTCTGCCATTAATTGCAATGGGAAATCCAAAAATGTAATGCGGGATCATGACTTTATTTTTGATATGCAGTGGTGTCAAAGTGACAATGTCTGTGTTTGTGACACGGTTGAGCATGCTTAATGGAATTTAGGCTAAGAGGTCAAAAATAAAAACAGTATTGCGTGTGCCTAACAGAAAATAGGTGCAAAAAATGAACAAAATACAAGAACAAAGCAATTGATTATTATTTTGGTAACCACTAAAAAGGGTTTTGTAGACAGACAAATTTATGTCTTTCTAATTCAGTGGTTGCCAAACTTTTTTGATTGTTGACCCCCTACAACTTTTCAAAACCTCACATCGACCCCACCAAAAAGTTTGTGTTACAAGCAAAAAAAAGCTCTTACTATTTTAATATATCTTTTAATTTTACATTTTTTACATTTATTGTACATACGTTAATAATAATTTTTGTAACTGACAATCAATGAGATGGATAAGCTTGATAATCCTTATCAAGATTAGCAATATTCGGTTCAAAAAGTTTTAGTCTTTTCATTGACTCCCCAATAATGTGAATTAGAACAGGGGTTGACCCCTGTTCTAATTCTGGTGAATGATGAACTATTCACCAGAAGTCAAGAACCACACAGAAGATAGTTTTAATTCACAGATCTTTTATTTAAATAAAAGGTTTGTGAACTAAAAATTTTAGTTACCAAAATAAGTGATTATATCTGGTGAATATTGCTGAATTTTAGCTTTATATTAAAGCAATTGATGGTGATTGTTTTGTTCTTGAATTGCCTTTCCATATTGGCAAGTGCAAGGATCATGTCTCCCATTGCCAAAAGGTACAAAAATTGCCTCTCTCGTGGATGGCAGGTACAAGGATAGCTATTTTTTTTTTGTGGCAGCAAGTGCAAAGTTTACTGTCTGCATCCATCAGGTACAAGGATTGTTTCTTCTGTGCTTAACAAGTGATTTCTTCTTAACAATGATTTCTTCTTTTTTTCCAGCTCTGCCTTAATTCTTTAGTGATATGACTGTCACATGATGTTCTAGTACACTCTAAAATCTTATGACCTATTCTCAAATCCATTGCTAAAAGTAATAGTAAATACTATTCAACTTTGTACCACCTAAGAAATGATAAAAACCTCATAGATGACAAATGGAGCAGTAGAATGTATATCATCCTGACTAAATGAGGAGACTTTTGTCAGCATATCGTATGTCAGTTACACCTAGATTTTTTAACAAGAGGCTCACTGAACACAGATGGCATTAAAAGAGGAATCAACTACAGTTTTCTTTTTTCACAACCTCCAGGCACAGAGGTAGATTGGCAGGTGGCCAAAATCATCTGAACAATTTCTCACTCTTCCCATACCATCGTCATAGAGGGAGTGAAATTTATACTACACCATTACCAATACATATTTCATTCTGTCACATCAACCACAACTGTTATAACCTACCTCTCCCACTTGTTTATTTGATCCAAATCTATCCCTTTATCTTTTCTTCTGAAACTAGCTCTTCACTGTTAATTTTTGATGCCTGAGGATGATCCATTAACTAGGTTGCAAATGTTAGCACTCTAAAATCCCACTGATAAAGATGCAGTAATTAGTCCAGTTATCCCAGTGATTAATATATTATCTTCATTATATATTATTTATGCTCAGATTGACAAATTCTGAACCTTAATCTGTGGTATCTAAATGTTGTTGTAACTGATAAATTAAGCTTAAAATTTACACACACACTGTTATTTTAATGTTTATACATAAATAATGTATTTATTTGCATTAAACCACATTAAATAATAATTTAACATTGTTTTTGTATAAATTTTATGTTTAATTTATTGTAATCAATTAAATTTTACATATTTTTCTGTATAAACATAACAATAACAATAAAGAAGCTCGTTAGGATACATATAGTCAGAAGGCTATGAAATATGTTGGCTTGTCGTTGTATAGGATCTGGATTTGAACTTCATAATTTATTATAAGTAATATGGAGTAGAATGTCAATTCTCACTTTGTTGCCCATTGTGATATTGCATGTCTGGCATTTCTCAATGAAGGAAATTTCAGTCAGTCAAATAGTATTAATATATTGGTATCTTGCCTTGGCAAATCACTCAATCCATAAAATTCCTCTTGTCAGAATTTTTAAAGAGTAGATATTTCTTTTCATATATTTATATACTAATTAAATTATTATTTGAAAATACTGCTAACCAATTGAAAATTCTTATCTTTGTTAAAAGATAAATTTGTCAATTATTAAATGTTTAAATGTTGTCTACATGATATAGAGAACTATTTAATAATCTAAATTATATTGATGATAATGTTTGTAGTACAGTATAATTTTCAGATATATGTATCACTCTAGAACAGTGTTTCTCAACCTCTAACGAATCATCGCCCCCTTCAATGTAGTACCGCCCCCTTCAGTAAAACCGTTACGTAGTATCACCCCCTTCACTGCAAAATACCGATGCCAAGAGGGCCAAGACTAATGCCAAATTCGTACTGCATTGAATAGACTAGTGACTAGTATAATGCTATTTGTTTAATTATTGTACGATATAACGAATAAAATATCTAATTATTCTTAATATAATGTTTTACTATATCGCCCAGAAAATTGTTTTTCACCCCCAAAATATAAATTATTACTAATCGCCCCCTCAACATGGAAAAACTTTCACATGGGGGTGATATTGCCCCGTTGAGAAACACTGCTCTAGAACAAGGGTGTCAGACTGGCGGCCCCGATGTGATTTTTCGTGGTCTGTGCCCACAATGCTCTGAAGAAATTAAATAAAACGGCTTACAGATCAAGATTAACTGATAAACATCTATCTGCCATAATGAAGATTGTTCTGTCTTTGAATCCAGATATTGGAAAACTGGAGGAGGAAGATAGTGCTGGCAAGATTCTGGTGAAAACAATTTTAGTTTTATAAATATGTGTATTAAACAAAAGCAATACTATAGCAATTATATATTGTTGAGTTGAATTCACTGAACTACATAATGTATTTTAAATGTCCTATCTATATTCCTGCATTCTCACTTCAAATTATAATTTTAAGAAAATTTTATATGTAATGTGGCCCATGTGAATCTTACCAGTCACATTAATGGCAAACCTGTTCTAGAATAACCAGTTATTACAATTACCAGTTATTATTTTGTAATAACTGGTTATTCTAGAGTGATACAATCTGATTTAATGAGCCGTTCATGACTTTGCCTTATTTCAATATATTTGAAGTTTATTGCACTCAAAATTCACAATAG